ATTGCTTGTGTGTCTCGTTTCTCTACTGCCAAAGAGACACTGATCATCTCACAAATGCCCATTTGGACAAGAATTGATTCCTCATTGGGTTTTCCTGCAAATGTCCACCTTCCAGGAATGTATATGCCTTTGTATTCAGCGCCCCACTTTGTTGCTCTGCTCACCCCAGTGCCAGGCCTCAGTAGGGTTAGCATCCACTCCAAGTCATTCCCCAATTTACTGAGACAGATTTATGACCTCGCCCCATGCACTTTTAACAATTTGGGCACATCTCTATTTTTTCCCTGACCACTTCATGTATGTCTGTTCACACATCTGTTTTCCCTCTAAAACCACAAGCTAACTAAAGGAAGGAACTATTTGTTATTCATAGCTTTATCAATGACACAATTTCTGACAAACACTGGGCACCCAATGAATGTTTGTTGAGTAAGTGTATTTGATATACAAGTGGCAAGCTGCCACATAATTCTACCTGTTTACATAATGTGATTTTTATTTTGAGTGCATTCAGAACCCAAAGCACATCTCAGTTTAAGTTTCATCGAGCTCTGCTATAGACAAAGTTTAATGAGAAACTGTGGCATAGGAACCAGATGCTTGCATGATTGATATAGTGAGCTTTCTTTCTTGTTAAATGTATTAAATATGTAGACTAATTTATACACATATTTTCTCCAGTTCCACCAGTTGAGGAGTGCAAATAAAATCACAGAATTCCAACGTTTGTTCTTTCTTATGTTTCACCTACTCAGCATGTGTAAAATCCAGCCCAGATAGGAATTTATACCAAGCCACTGGGTTCTGTCTCATTTATGTTCATATATATGCTCATTATGCCTTCTCCTGTCACAGATTGCTTTTCAGGGCATCCTGCTGGGATTGCTGAACACAGATCTGACCAACAGTTTGCACTGATGGGTATACCCCTTAGATCTGGCATCGTGAGCTCTAATGGGAACCACCACCACTGGCTGCCAATGGGTATTTTATCACTCAAGTTTCAAAATAGCTGGAGGTTCCAAAGTTAACTGTGAGGGGGTTTTTCTTCCTTATATTTATATTATATTTTCTTTATATTATATTTTCTTCTATATATCTTGCAATATATGGGGTATTGGGATAATGTGTATGTGTGAGGAGAATGTTGCTCACAGAGCTAGGCTGCTTGTGCCAATGTTTTATAAATATTCTAATGAACCAATGCTTCTTGAATTAACTTCTACCACTATTTTCTGTATGAGCGTGGACAAGACATTCAAGTTCCCATGACTTATTTCTTCATCTGTAACTTTCATAGGCCTTGGTGAGAGTTGAATACTGTGCTAGAGCAACTGTGCTTGGCACATTTTAAATGCTACCTAAGTCTTTGCTATTATTGTCATTTGTGGTGACCACTCGATATGAGATTTAGTGCCTGAATCTTGACCAACCTTATTTCTTTCCCTCTGAGATTCTCAAATAGATTATTCACACAGAAATCCATAACAAATTGAGATCAAAGCACCTGACTCAATACTGATAAGCTTGGAATTAGCTTGAATTCAAGACCAAGTTGGGATTTCCCCACTAATTTGTATGTATATCTAATCAGAGATATGACAATTGGGAAACCTAAGGTCTTTTCAACATTGTTATTTATATACTAGAGGCCCAGTGCATGAAATTCATGCACTGGGGGGAGGGGTGTCCCTCAGCCCAGCCTGTACCCTCTCCAATCTGGGACCCCTTGGGGGATGTCTGACTGCTGGGGATTGGGTCTAAACCAGCATTCGGACATCCCTCTCATGATCCAGGGCCCTGTATCTTGTGAATAAACTCTGCTCAAGTCTTTAGCTGACCCAAGTGATGGATATCTGGGTATATTCTAATCAGCACAAAGTTAACATAACTAAACTAATATTGCAGAATTTGGAGTTTAAATTCACCCATGAAAGAAAATATTAGTATTATTCAGTGGAACATAACAAAATACAGAGTCTCCACATATATATTGTGTATGATTTTCAGAACATAATCCAAATTTATTAGACATGAAGAAACAGGAATTATGATCCATACTTGAGAAAAGGCAATCAATGAAGACCAACTTTGAATAGACCTAGATTTGGAACTAGCAGACAAAGAATATAAACATTCATTTAAATTGATCAAAGGCATAGAGGAAATTATAAGGAACTGGGCAATGGCAGCTGGCTCATATATTTGTGTACATATACTTTGTTCTTTATATAAAACAGCAATTCTTATAAAAGGGGGGGTGACTGAAAATAGTTTGATCACACACACTCAAAAGGCACATTGAATTCAAAGTTGTTCTGTAGGACATTCATTCATGGTAAATAACCATTTAAAACTTCATAGACCTTAGAGTAGACTTGAATTGAAGCAATTATAATATAAGGTGAAAATTAATGTGTCTTATAAAAGCAGTGCTTAAAATTAGTCTGAAGTCTTTGAGGTAGACAGATATACTTCCAGATTTTGGGAGGAGAAGATATAAAAGAATGGTTTGTGAAGGAGAGGCAGATGTGATAGACCTTAAAACATATTTATTTTTTTACACGTGGGCATGATGGAATAAGGGTGAGCACCCAAGTGCATACTGTGAAGAAAGATCTGAATATAATAAATAAAGTAGCAATCTTTGGCTGGAGGATATAGTTTGTGACAACAATGGCAAGAGATGATGTATGAAGGTGGCAAAGTGCTGGACCAAAGAGTTTAGACATGATTCTGAAGACACTGAGGCATCAATTCAAAGACAAGATGCAAACACCCAACATTATTTCCTTTGAAAACCACAAAACTAAAAAGAATTTATTGTTTGTACTTCTTACAATCACGTAGTACAAAAAGCAAATGGAATACTTCTTATAATTTCAGTAAAATTCTGTTTAGTCTTCTAAGAATTAAGTTACTACATGACAGCTTTGAGCAAAAAAAAAATGAAGACATTTTCTATGAAATTACTTAACATTTTGGTTACAAGATATATGTAAGAGTTTATGGTTTTACAAAATATTTCACTGAACTATTAAGAAAGAGTCCAGTCCCACCACCTTTTGGGGTAGGGGTGGGGCAAATTTAATTTCATATTTACAAATTAAAACCCATGCATAAAATACAAGTTATGATTAAGTTATATCTTTTAAAATATAAGAGAGGAAGGGAGAGGGAGAGAGTTATAGAAACATCAATGATGAGAGATGATCATTGATTGGCTACCTACTCCACAACCTGAACTGGGAATCAAGCCCACAACATGGGCATATGCCCTTACCAGGGATTGAACTATGCCCTACTGGTTCATAGGTTGATGCTCAACCACTGAGCCACCCTGGCTGGGCATAAATATCTTGTAAAGGTTGCAGAAATAAGCAAATACTTCTTTCCTAATTTTGTGGCTTTTTTCTGATGAGGAAATTCAGAAGATTCTGTTTGCAGTTCATTATCAGGCAATTATAAAATTACATTGAAAATTTTAAAGTATGAATAACAAAGGCAAGGCAATAACTTTAAAAATCTTAAAGCCTAATACTAGGTTAGAAAATAAATCCTTTGGAGTAATGAGCTTTTATAATATTTCAGTTGCTTGAAGTAAAGGAATTAACTGGGATTTTTTTGGCCTTTTTGAACATCAGAGTACAATACGGCCAGAGTACCTTGGAACAGGAAGGAAAATTGAATTTTATGTCTCTGCACTCATGTTTATTTTATCCTTCATGTTATTCACGCTTTATAACTACTGACGTCAAGGAAAGGAACGTAGACTTGTGGCCATAGACACATCTCGTTGCATATAATAAGTGAATTATTACATGATACTTGTTTAACTTTAAAAAGCACCGTTTTCCCCCTGAATTTGTTTTGTGGCATGGAATGGTGTCTTACCATCCTGAGATCATCTATATTGATATGTACATAAATATTCCTCTTACTTTATAATTTCATGAAATGTATTTTGTTTAGAACATTTCCTCCAAAGGTCTTAAGTAATGTCCTATGCAAACAAGGCTCAATCAAGATGTGAGTCACTCTCTCTAAGATCAAAATTTCCTTGTAAATTATCCCAGTGCTTATGAAATAATGTATCTGGGGGGTGGGGGGGTGGGTAGGGGTGGTGAGAAGAAAAACTATGATTTTTCCTCCAGAATGGAAAAATAAGCCAACAAATTCTAGTATTAACACTTCAGTTCCTCTTTTTTGCTGGTTTTATCATATTAATATACTTTAAGGCAGAGGTTCTCAACCTGTGGGTCACGACCCCTTTGGCGGTCGAACGACCCTTTCACAGGGGTCGCCTAAGACCATCCTGCATATCAGATATTTACATTATGATTCACAACAGTAGCAACATTACAGTTATGAAGTAGCAACGCAAATAATTTTATGGTTGGGTCACAACATGAGGAACTGTATTTAAAGGGCCAGAAGGTTGAGAACCACTGCTTTAAAGTTTCCTATTTAATCAACAGCAAGACTAATAAACTTAAATATAGTTCTATGGAATGATGATCAAAGTATGATAATTAAATGCCAGATGGCACAATGATTTCCCACAGTCTACTCAACTTTTGTGATGTTTTTCTTGCTTTGGGTTTCCTGATAGGAACTTTGTATTCTATAACTCTGAGGTTTTTGCAATTGTCTTTGGTATCTCTTTCTAGTATTTTGTTAAAATCATTTACATCTAAATTCCCTAACCACCAAGCTCAAAGATTCCTTTCCCATTGTTAACTATCTCTATTCAATATGATTATTTATACTATAAACCATACAACAAAAAGGAGAGTTGACCCAATTCATGACCAATATAAAGGGATATCTAAGCATCCTTGAACTTGTTTTATTGCTTTGCTGCTAATTATTGTTTCTCTTTACTTTAAATTTGCTTAAGAGTACAACTTCTAACAATAATACTTAATAATGTATGTAAAACCTGCTATTCAATTCTCACATAAAGTTATAGGAGAGTATGAATAAGAAAAACACAGGAGAATTTTGCCAAAACAATTTTATTTTACAGTCCAACCGATGATTAAATGCAAACTTGCTACTCTATCTAGCTTCTATTTTCTTACACTGATTGAGGTATTATAACATCTAGGATTTTGAATTTGTATGCCCAGATGTTCCTGCTTGTCCGACTTCCTTCAATTTGTAAGTGGACAAACAAATAAATTCTTCTCATCCTCTTCTTTTTTATGTGCTCTGAGTACACCAGGTCTTTAAATCAGGGGCGGATCTGTGACCCGCTCTGGTTTATGTCCGAGTCCGTCAAACTCTAACTGGCCTACAACTGCGTGGATAAGACGTTCTGTTCCACAGGCACCTCACTCTTTTCTGAATGAAAACACGAGTCCATTAGCACATCTCCTGAAGCACATGAGGGATTGAAAGTGGTCCCTCAGCTTATTCGTCAGCATCTCCCTGAAGTGATCCCCCACAAGGAAATAGAAGATGGGGTTGATGACACTGTTCAGGAAGGCCAAGGGCCTGGTCACAATGTATAAGGAGTGGATGATGGCCCTGGGGCATTTGGCCTCATTCTCGTCCCACATCCGTGAAATGATCCTCAGGTTCCGCATGACGTGGTAGGGAGTGAAAAGCACAGAGAAAATCACCACGGCCAGTATGACTAGGTTGAGGGGCTTTTCAAAGGGCAGCGTGGCAGCCTCTGGCCTGGCTCTCTGCTTTAGGAAGACAGCGATCTTGAAATAAAAGAAGCACATCACAAAAAGAGGAATGAGGAAGCCCAAGCAGGTAAGGCACATGCTGTAAATGAGGCTGGGCTTGGCCTCCCCAGAACTTGCATAATCCCTACATCTGGTTTTATTGCCACCTGTATCGGGATTTATAAAGAGAACCATGGGCACGAGCTCTAAGGTCACCACAACCCAAATGGCCAAAGAGATTAAAACAGCAAACTCTTTCTTTTGCAGAAGGTGTTCTCGGAAAGGGTAATTCATGAGCAGGTAGCGATCGATGCTGACGAAAGTGAGGAAGAGGATGCTGGTGTAGAGGTTGGCATGAAGCATGTACCGGTTGCTGGTGCAGAGCACATCTCCATAGGTCCAGTTTTCAATGGCATAGCTTTTGATCAGCAGGGGCAGTGTGCAGAGAAAAGCGAAGTCAGAGATAGAGAGGTTAAAGAGATAGATGTTACTGCTATTCCAGTTCTTCAGACAGAAGAGGTAGCCGAAAACCACAAGGCTATTCCCAAGGACTCCCACAACGAACTCAATCCCATAAAAAATGGAAAGGTAGTACTTTCCTAGGGCAGCCTCTGCTGCAAGCCAGTTTTCACAAGATGCATTCCATGCCTAAAGGAGAGAGAGAAAATATAAGGATGAAACACGAGAGCATGGCTAAGGACATAATGGCACTTAACATAATAATTCTAAAAGAACGCTCAAAAAAGTTGACTATATGGAGACTGGTTTACATTAGTAAGGAGTACACATGTCTATGCATGTATATGTGACTAATGTTTCAAAAAATATTTATTAATACCTTTGAACTGTGTGCTAGCCAGTGGGAATAACAACAATGAATGAAAGTTTCTAATTTCAAACAATTTATAATATCTTGAGAAAATCAGAAATTGAAAAAAAAGTGCATATCATAAAAGGTGGGGGTTTATAGTTGTTCCTATGGAAAATAATACATTCCTATATAATAAAAGCCTAATACGCTAAGTGTCTGGTCATCCATTCAACCAATCAAAGCATGATATGCTAATAATATGCTAAGGCCATTCAACCACTTGCTATGATGTTCACTGATCACTCGGGGGGGAGGGCAGACAGTTAACCGGTTGACCAGTCACTATGATGTGCACTGACTACTAGGGGGCAGACGCTCTGACCGGTAGGTTAGCTTGTTGCTGGGGTCCGGTCGATTAGGACTGTGAGACAGGCAGGACACTCCATGGAGTCCTCCCACAGTCCCTCCCCAGCTGGCCAACCTCCTGTGTCCCTCCCCAGCCCCAATTGTGCACCGGTGGGGTTCCTTGGTCTGGTCTGAGCCCTCTCCCAATCTAGGATCCCTCAGGAGATGTCAGAGAGCTGGCTTCAGCGCAATCCCGAAGGCCAGGCCCCCCACTGGTGCACAAATTAGTGCATTGGGGCTCCAGTAATTAATAAATAACAATACAAAAATAAACTCTGTGTTTCACATACTCACAACTGTAAATCTACTTTTGGCCCACCCTGTATATGATAAAGAGTATTCCAGGCATTAGTAAAGGCATGTGCAAAGGCCGTGAGGTGGACACACACATAGAGGATTTGAAAAACTGCAAAGAAACCAATGAAAAGTGCAGTGAAGTAAGTGAAGACAGACGTTTCCAGGACCTACCATGTTCCCCAGCACACTGTAGTTGTCTGACAAGTTCTGCTGAGTTAAATTAGATTGAATCGTAACCTAGAAGAGGAAACAAGGATTGTTATAACTCCAGTCTTGACATTTCAATAGCTCTTACTTTGTTTCTATATTGTTAAAGTATTATGCTTATTTTTATTAAATTCATAAAATGAAAATCCAGTTCTTACATCTAATAAAATACCTCCATCATAGCATCTTCAAAACAGAGGGTTATAAAAATAAGCAACCTGATTCATTCAAACCATATATATCTCGCTCACCTACCATGTTTTCTCTTGTAATGAGAACAGATTGTTTCTGGTTGAGTAGGGTACTTAAAGAACTCGAGTTTCTTAAAAATGTACTGAATTGCCATTATTAAATATTGAATCCTACTTATTTCTAGTTAGGAAAAAAGCAAGGTTGAAAATCTTTGTCATATGGAACTCTGTGTGCTAGTTGTTGCAACCAAATGATTCTTTCATATAAGTATTTTGGTAAATATAGCAAAATAAGGTCAAAGACCTGAACTGTTTGTTTGTTTGTTTTTCTGGGAAACATGAAAACATTGAACAGAATTCTCTATCATGAAAGCTTCTGGAAAAGTCATATCTTTTGTCAAATTTAAGTGGTCTACTTCAGTAAAAGATTGCTGGTGTTTTGGGAGTGTTTTATTTATGAAAACAATTCATGGAATTGTAGATATAACAAATTCAATATTTTGATGTTATTTTAATCACTCTTTAGAATATTGTAAGTTCCTCTGAGCCTCTCCTCAAGTCTTTCCAGGGCAACCTGCCACTGAGTTCAACTCTAGACAAAGCTGGATAGGAACTTCTTTGGGCAGGAGGCACATGAACGCTGCTGAAGAATTGCGTTCTCCATCTTTGAGCATATCTAATTCTACTGCTCTCCTGCTTTCTCACATCTCCAGGAATATAGTACATTTATCAATTTCATATCTTTCCCAATTTTTCAAAGCACTTCTACCTACTCTCCCTACTCCTCATTAGCAGATGTTTTTGTCTTTGAGTTCCCTGAGGGAGAGCCCATTCATGGATGTCCAATCTCTGGTTCCGGCCTCTGCATCTGTCTTCTCCTTCCTTCCGGTGACAACAGAGAATGTCTATTCCTCTGGACTTACTCCAGATCCAACTCATTCCCAAATTCTCAGGGATGTTAACTGTTATCAAAACTCTCTCTTTCCTATCTCTTCAGCCTTCTTCTCCTGCTCAGCTACTTCTTTTCCATTGGCATATAAACACTCTCTCTTGTCTTAAAAATAAAGAGCAGACATTAACAATTCTTCTGGGTTTCAAAGGTTTCTCTCATTAGCTTGTATTACAACAAAGAGCTGTCTTCACTAATTGCTTTGATATCCTGACACCCCATTCCCTTTACTCCAATTGGCTTCTGACCCGCCACACAACCAAAACAGCTTCCACCTTGCTCAACCCAGTGGTCATTTATTCACTACTAGTCTTCTTCCTTGACTTCTCAGCTATTTTTTATACCATGACTTCTGTAGACACTCTCTTCCTTTACCCTCTATAAAATGACCATTTCCTCATTTTCCTTCTTTTTGCCTTGTTCTTTGCAGGCTCTTTTTAAGCCTTCTTGACCTAAGTGCTTACTGTTGAGTTCCTCAAGACTCAGTACTGAATTTCTTTATCTAGACACACTTTTGTGTCTCAAGACTCAGTACTGAATTTCTTTATCTAGACACTGCATGAATGATCTCATCCACTTTCTAGCTTTAATGATCATCCAGATATCAACTCTCAAATGTATATCAAAGCCTGGACCTGTCTCATAAGAGTTATTTATACTTACTACCACTGATACATTGCTTACAGGCACTTCTGCCTCCAGAAATCCTGTACTAAACTCTTCAACTTCCTTCCTGATATGTTATACCCCTACCTAACTCCATCAATGACCTCACCATTTCCCCAGGCCATTTTACCTTAAAAATATAAAAACATCCTTGAAGTTACCTATAGCTTGCCTCCAATTACAAATAAACTACCAGGTCTCATAGTCTATAATGTATGGATATTTCTCAAATGCATTTCTATTGCTTCACACCTTTATCACCAGCCTAGTCTGGGCCATCATCATCTCTATCTTGGATTGTACCATATCCTCCTTTAGTCTCCTCACATCTCTGTCCCCCTTTCAATCTGCCTTCAACATGACAGCTAAATGATATTTAAAAACTACAACTACTCTCCTCAACCAAAATGTTAAAATGACTTTCCACTAAAGGAATAAACTCCAAAACCTTTCATGGGGACCTCACAGCATGAACTGCCTCCTGTACTCCACTTCAGCCTCACCTAGCATGACTCACCTCCTTGCTCATCTTCTTTTCTGTTTCTGAGTGCACAGAGAAGACTACTCACATTCAGTGCATTGAACTTCTTTTCACTGACCTTCCCCACTGTGGTTCTTGCCCCATAACGTATTCTGTCTTCTATCTACGCTTCTCTCAGATATCAGTGGGATTCCCAAGATAGCCTCTCTGACCCAGCAGTCTAAATTAGATCCTCACATTTTATGCTCTCATTTCATACTGAGCTTCTTTTTAACACTTCCCTCAACTTTATCTTACTCATAGTGGATCTTCTAGACCTGGCACAGTGACTACCAGATAGTAGATGACCTATAAATGCTTGCAGGGTGGAGAGATAATATAAACACTTGACTGTTTAGAAAATATTTTTATAATATTTTCTCCATGATCAAATCTGTAGTAAGTCCACCAAATTAAGCCCATTGCTCTAGCTCAGCCGTGGGCAAACTATGGCCCATGGGCCGGATCTGGCCCATTTGAAATGAATAAAACTATTGAAAAAAAAGACCGTACCCTTTTATGTAATGATGTTTACTTGGAATTTATATTAGTTCACACAAACACTCCATCCATGCTTTTGTTCCAGCCCTCCGGTCCTGTTTAAGAACCCATTGTGGCCCTCGAGTCAAAAAGTTTGGCCACCCCTGCTAGCTACACTAATAAAAGAGAAACATGCAAATTAACCATCACTCCATCACTCTGCTACAGCCACCAGCCAATCAGAGTGACTATGTAAATTAACCCAACAAAGAGGGCAGTTAATTTGCATATGCAGGCACAGAGTGAAGACTAAAGATGACTGAAGATGACAGCGGCCACGAATCTGAAGCAAGCAGGAGGCTTGGGTTGCTCCTGGAGACAGAGGAAGCCAAGCTTCCAGCCCGCCCTGGGCTCTGCTCAATGAGTGGCAGCCCTGGCTTCTGCTCGAGGAACTGGAAAAAAAAAAAGGAGGGGCTGGGAGCAGCTGGAGTGGAGAAGCCAAGCCTCGCTGCTGCGGCCAGACCAAAGGCCTGGGTCCCAGATGCCAGAGGAAAACTGGTGCTGGCAGCCAGGGGAAGGAAGGCCTATTGCGCGAATCTTCATGCAACAGGCCACTAGTTTTACTATAAAAGCTGACACTGCAAATATTGTGACTAATATTCAAAAATGGCAATTGTAATAGTGGTAGGTGTGATTTAGATACACATTGGAAGAAAGAAAAATTTAATATATATTTTCTAGGATCACTTTTAAAAATGAGGGATAATTAAAGACTTAGGAGTTTACATCTGAAATTAAGAAACATTAGAAAGTCAAGGGCATGTACCAAAGTATTAATAGTTTTATCAGTAGTGATAAAATTTCAGATAATTTTTATAGTGTGCATTCTCCTTTTGATTTATCTAGACTTTGTATTTTCTCCATATCAGCTTGTACTTAATATTATTAAAAATTCTTAGGAATACAAAAAAAAAGTTAAATTTTTTAAAAAAGTATTTTTTAAACAATAAGTTTTATTTTTTAGACTAAGTTTTGGTAAGTTTTCACTATCACTTCTAACTCTACTTGTAGCTAGTTTCAATTCCATAACTTCTAGAGGCTCTCTTCCTTGCCTTCTATGACTGGCAATCTCCTGTTGTCCTTTCTCTGTTTATAGACTTTTCTGTGGTCTAATCATTGCTTGCCCAAGCTTTAAATGTAGCTCTTCAAAGCTCAGTTCTGGGCAACTTAGTTATTTTGGGAATACTTAAAAAACTGGTGTACACACTCAAATGAATATTAAGACAATAGAAAGTATTTAAGACAAAAAATTGTCTCATTTTTCAGTTTCTTCTTTTTTTAGTTATAAGTCTTATTTTTCTGCCTAGCCAGTTCTTAAATGTACTAAACTGACTTATGTCAGTAGCTTACATGCAGCAGAAAAGTTTGACTGCTATGAAAGAAAAATACAGCTATAACTAGAAGGCAGATTACCAATAGCTAACACTCAGCCAAGTTGAAGCCATGGATTCTTCTGTTTTTGAGTTGTCCACTGGGATTAGAAATTAAGGAGAAAGTGGGATAGAAAATATCAGGACTGAAATAAGAAAAATAAATGGCTAGTCAACTTTGACCTTTTTCTCAGAGTGGTTCCTTCATTCTTTTAAAAAACACACAACAAAAACATTTTATTATGTAACACTCACTCAGAAAATGCAGAGAGGCAAAAAGAAGAAATCAAAATTTATGTAAACCAATGACTCCTAATTTTTGGATATCATCCTACTGTTTAATACTTATTTGAATTTATTTTTATAGAAATATGTTTTTCAATCTGTTTTTGATAGATTTATTTTATTTAAAAATATTATTCCTAAATTCATAATACTAATAAACTGTGGCTTTATAAATGTAAGTCTGTCTAATATTTGCAAACCAATTTAACCTTGCCAGGATCCTCAATTTCCAGGGTAATAGATTCCAAGTTTGATGATGCTTGTAGTTAAGTGTGTTCTTAGTGTAGCCATCACAATTCTACAAATTGATGAAATAAGCTGGTCCTTTAAGGAAAATTCCCAATTGAAGGGAAATTTCCTTATGAAAAATGAATATTCTCTCCCATTTTCTAGTGGTTGATTTTTAATTTTTAGAAAATAAAAATTGTTATAAGTGATTTGGACCAATTATTTTTAACAGGTTTTTAGATATTGGCAATTAAAGTAAAATCTTTAATTATTTATTCAATATTATACCTATACCTGTTAGAATTATTAAACTACAAGGAATATTAATTTCACTTACATAAGCAGTTCTTAATTTTAACTTGAGAATATCTTTCTTTCACTTTGATTATATTTAGCCTTTTAAAGGTGTATGCTTTTGAAACTTAAATTAAAAACATATTTGATAATTTAATAACTTTTAAATTGTTTTCCTTATATTCATCATAATATAGAACATTTATGAAATATTATCCTTAACTGTTTTATTAAGCCAAATTTACACAGTAATATGTGTATATTTTTATGAAATTGATTTTTTTCACTAATAATCCATTTGAATAAAGAACATATTTACACTGAAAAGATATAATCATTTAATGTTGATGACTTGATGTATATTATATATTGCAGAAATTACACCAGAAGTCAAAGGATTAAAATGTTAAAGTATGATGTCAAATTGTGTTTTTTTTTTTAAATTTCTTAAAAATAACTCACCGATTATAAAACATTTTGGAAGACATAATAGCAATGATTTCTGCAATTTTCCCCTTTTTTCCCTAGTGAGCTATATTCTTGAATCATGCAATTTTTACAAACACAATTGGTAAATTTTAGTATTTCGTCTAGCACATTATTTTCTCTATATAATATATATATATGATATTTGTTTCATATGATTTAGAAACTTTACATTTTTTTCAAATAGTTAAATTTATTTAAGTAATTCTCGTTCCTTTTTTTATGAAATATAGTTACCAAAACATAAGCAAATACAATAAACCTCTTAGAAGAAAATAAATTTATTATTTGGCCATTTAAACAAGGCATTACATTTGTTAAAAAAATAAATGTAAAGGAAAAATATATGACTCCCTTTCAGTTTCTTTTGCTGCCCTACATGTACATATGAACAACAGTTCAGACAGTTCATTTAAACATTGCTTTAAACTTTAATTGCACACAAGCCACTTTTTAAGGAAACCCCTAACCAACGGCATTTATTTCCTTTAAATACCTGGGCAACATGAGTTACATTACAACTTACCGTTCTGTTGGAAAGTCCTAATCCCTGGACAGAAATTCTTTGCCAGCAACTTGATGCAGCTTCTGACCCAGTGCTGCGCCTCTAGCCATAGTGAGAGCAGTGTGATTTGCGTATCATGCAGCCAAGATGAATAATTCAAAAGTCAAGGAACAACTTACTCAGTCAAACCTCCAAGCCAAGTTCAAGCAAGGGAACTTCCTGTCAAGTCCAGACACAAAACAAATTCATTTCACAAGTCGCTCTTGAAAAGACTGCCTTTGAAATAGTTTTATTGTCTTTCAAAACAACAGAAACGCATGTGTTATTTTTGTTTATTTGCATATTTAAAAGTTAGTACTGTTTATGTTGGGTATACAATTGCTTTTGCTTTTTAAAAACCAGTTTTTAAAAGACTGTATTGAGATATAACATACAGAACCATAAAATTCACCCATTATAAGTATATAATTCATGATTTGTAGTAAATTTATAGTGTTGTACAACCATCACCACAGTCTAACCTGTTGTTTATGTTGTTTTTTCCTTTTATTGAATTTATCAGGGTGACTCTGGTTAACAAAATTATACAGGTTTCAGGTGCACAATTCTACAACATATTATCTGTACTCTGTATTGTGCAGCTGTGGGCAAACTATGGCCTGCGGGCCGCATCCGGCACTGTATTGTGCAGCCGCGGGCCGCATCCGGCCCGTTTGAAATGAATAAAAGTAAAAAATAAAAAAAAAGACCGTACCCTTTATGTAATGATGTTTCCTTTGAATTTATATTAGTTCACACAAACACTCCATCCATGCTTTTGTTCCAGCCCTCCGGTCCAGTTTAAGAACCCATTGTGGCCCTCGAGTCAAAAAGTTTGCCCACCCCTGGCTGTGTTAACCACCCCAAGCCAAGTCTCTGTCCATCACCCCATACCCTCCTCCACTCTCTTCATCCTCGGCAATACCACTTTGTCCAAGTCCATAAGTTTGTTTCCTCTTTGTTTTATATTTTGCTCAATCCCACCCTCCTCCCCCAGCCCACCCTCAGCTGTCAGCCTGCTCTCTATGTATAAGTCTGTCTCTATTTTGCTTGTTAGTTCATTCTGTTCTTTGGATTCTGCATATGAGTGAAATCATACGGTACTCGTCTTTCTCTGACTGGCTTATTTCACTGTGCATAATTGCAGCATTATTTACTATGAGCAAAATTTGGAAGGATTCCAAGTGCCCCATCAGTAGATAAGTGGATAACAAAGCAGTGGTAGCCCAGCCAGTGTGGCTCAGGAGGTCATGGTTCAATTCCCTGTCAGGTCATGTGCCTAGGTTGCAGGCTCGTTCCCCCATGTGGGGTGTGTAGGAGGCAGCTGATTAATGATTCTCTCTCATCATTGATGCTTCCATCTCTCTCTCCCTCTCCCTATCTCTCTGAAATCAATAAAAAATAGTTTTTTAAAAAGGCAGTGGTACATTTACACAATGGAATATTACTTAGCCATAAGAAGAAGGGAAATCTTACCCTTTGTGACAGCATATAGATGGACCTGGATAGCTTCTGCTCCCCCCCCCCCATTTTTAAAATTGATATTTTTTGGTGAATTCTATATTGGGCATATAATAACAAAATATCTGTTATCAACAATTTTGATGGAACTATAAAGCAAAAACTATGGAAGCAAATCTGAATATATGTTCTGTCAGTGTCCTGGCAAAAGGGATACTAGGGTATTTCCCATTTTATTTTCTAGGATCAAAATCAAGAGACATTAAAAAATACATCAGGTGGCTAGAGATTAGGGAGAGAGGTGGTGTCTAAGTAAGATAACCTCAGCACTGGGAAATTCATACATCGGAGTCAATGCCCTGCATAGCACCTGGAAGCGCATCACCAGTTTCAGAATCCCACCTGGCTTTTCTGAGGGTCATGTTAGGTTTATATTCAAGTAGACACTTGGTCTACTTCATGTATACCATAGGGTCTATGCCGTGCCCCTAATTGTGCAGGCAGTGGTGATTTAATTTGAATGACATGAAAGTTGAGCATTGAGTTAGCAGGGACAGGCAAAAGCCCAAAAAGAACTCTGCAAATGATGCAAGCTTGGTCTAGGAAAGGAGCAGTAAAAATGGAGCGAACTGGTGGGATTTAAGATCAGTGGAAGTAAAACGTAAGGCGCGTGGGTGGGTAATAGGTTAGATGTATAGCATGAGGAAGAAGACCTGGTCAGGAAGTTTTCGGCTTCAGCATTTATGCAGATCAGGCGCCAGTAATAAAGATATAAGTGATTTCGTTATGAAAGAGCTTTTTAATGAACTCCACATCTTCAAATGCTTCACCCCCTCTGTAACTCGATAACATTTTGACTTAGAGTCATTCTAATTATATCACTTTTGTGTATTTTATTATACTTGAACAAAGGTTAGCTTTATCTTATAGTTACAAAACAGAAAATAAGGCTTTGCATGTGTAGGAAAATGTTGTGCATTAATAGAAAACTACACATTATTTATGCATAGGGCACACCCCTTCAGTTTATGATTCCTATATCGGGAAGTTATTTTACAACTAGGTGGGTTGTAGAATAATGAAAGCAATGGAAGTTTGGTCCTCTGCAGTATATCTTCAATTTGGTCTCAGTTTTGCCGCAACTTTCAATATTCCTATTCTGTAAGGCTGTTCTTTGAAAAATGCTCTTTTTAACTGGTTATAATATCTAGCTGGGTTTTTTTTTTGTTGATTGTGAGTAAAATAAAAATTTTAACATGTCCAGAAAAAAAAGAAATTCTATGTATTCCAGCCAGTCTTCCTAGTCACACATTTCCCCTTCTTCAATATATGAAAGCCTAAAACTTAAAAAAATATGTTATGTCTATCTACACACACACACATATACA